TGGCCTCTGATTAACAGCAAGATAAGGTTCCTATTTTTTAAAAAGCTTAGAATCTGTGAGAGAGAACAAGCAAGGAGGCAAAAAAAAAAAAAAAAACTATAAATACAGGATAGAACATAAAAATGATCATCCTCTGCACCAAAATTTGAGAACTATGGTTAAAATTCCAACTTCTGGTTAGCATCAGAACCCCAAAACAATCAGATATTATTTTAGATTTTTCATTTTTTTAAATTTATCCATCCATCAACCATTTTTGACAATGACTGCATTTATTCATTAGTGGCAAAATTACACTGTTATACATACAGTTATTAATATCTAGTTTCCATACCCTTTGTGATTTCATCCCACAAATGAATTTTTTTTTAAGATTTTATTTATCTAAGAGAGAGTGAGAGAGAGAGAGCACAAGATTGGGGTGGGGGTGGTCAGAGGGAGAAGCAGACTTCCTGCTGAGCAGGGAGCCCAATGTAGAAGTCGATCCTGGGACTCCAGGATCATGACCAGAGCTGAAGGCAGACACATGACCAGAGCTGAAGGCAGACACTTAACCAGCTGAGTTACCCAGGCACCCCCACAAAAAAAAAACTTCCAATTGTTTTCTTCCTTTGGTTTGTATATCTGTTAATATTTCCATACCATATCAATACCACTACAAAAATAACTAAATCCTCCCCCTATATTTTTATAATTATAAATATGAAAATTAAATAGTAATATAGGTTGTGGCAGATTCAACATTCTTCCCCATCTCCAATTACACATTCTACCACAACAGACACTTGGGAAAAGGATTAAGGCACAGCAGGTTTTCTAAGAAAGCAGATACAGAGAAAATAGAATCCTTCCTTAAAAATTTACTGAACAGTGGTATTTAAAAATTTCTATTGCAGTTACAACAACAACCCCAAAAACAACATGTCTTCAATTCTTAGGAATCTAAAAGGATTTTAAGAAATATCAAAAACTGAGAAAAGTTAAGTGTATTCTGTCCAAGCCACGGTAGTCCAGTTTGCCCGGCAGAAACACTACTATAATTTGTTGATATTTCTAGTCCTGAAAAGGTTCCCGAGGCAGCCTTTTATCCTGCACTATTGGCTAACATCACCTATGTCTCTCCAGGCATTCGATTAGGTGTGTAGCCCAGAATTATTCTTTCTAACCCAAAGAGTTGTAAAAATTCCAGAATTTTCACATGGCCACAATACATTTCTTGTTTATTCTTCTCTTTTATGAAATTGGACATGGCAACTGCTGGCACATACAGGCAATACCTCTGCATTTCAGATAGGCAATAAGAATTATTTACTATGTATCAATTCACAGAGGGCTGCCAGGCTAGGGAAAAAATAAGAATCTACCAGATGTCAGTAAAGGCAAGTGCTATAAGATGAGCATGCGCCCTGCATGAGTACCTTCAAAGAAACACTGAGATATTTCCGCTCCTACACGGAAGCATCACAATTGAGATCAGACCTACAACTCATGCAGACCAACCTGATTATTACGACTGTATTCCAAAATTCAGGAAAGAGTCAGTATTATTTCCTACTTTCCCCCTCTTTAGGGGTCCCAAATGCTAACTTCGTTTAAGAAGTAAAAATGTCTAAATATCAATAAAGGATTGTTCCAATTCCCATTTTAAAGATTTTTTTTTTTAATACGTATTTGACAGAGAGAGATCACAAGTAGGCAGAGAGGCAGGCAGAGGGAGGAGGAAGCAGGCTCCCGGCCGAGCAGAGAGCCCAATGCGGGGCTAGATCCCAGGACCTGGGATCATGACCTGAGCCGAAGGCAGAGGCTTTAACCCACTGAGCCACCCAGGTGCCCCTCCAATTCCCATTTTAAAATCCCTCTTAAAAAAATATTTTTTTAGGTGTTTTGTTTTGTGTTGTTTTTTAAGAATGTATTTATTTATTTGACAGAGAGAAACAGCCAGAGAGGGAGCACAAGCAAGGGAAGCAGAAGAGGGAGAAGGAGGCTTCCCACTGAGCAGGGAGCCTGACTGTAGGGCTGGATCCCAGGACCCTGGGATCATGGCCTGAGCCAAAGGCAGACGCCCAATGACTGAGCCACCCAGGCACCCCTTTTTTAGGTCTTTAAGAAGAAAAAGAAACAAAGGCCCAAATAGGAATGGCATATTAAAAAAAAAAAAAAAAAGGACAAAAACACAGTATTGAACAGAGGTACTCAGTAGGAATGCTATTTGTAGAGGCAGTAGAGAGAAATGTTGAGCTGTCACTCTCTGGAGCCAGAAGGATAGCAGTAGCTTACTACCTGTATAATCCTGAGCAAGTTTTTTTAAAACTGTGCCCCACTTTCCTCTTCTGTATCATGGGAATAATGACAGTAACAATCTCAGATTTGTTGAAGATTAAATGAGTTACATATTGTAAAGCAGTTAATATTTGACCACTGTTTACCACACAGATGGATAAAAATCCAGAGTGTTAATAACACTCTTTTGATGGGGCTATTGGAACACAGAAAGTCTGATACTTTGCTTAGTACTCAGCCTTATGGAGGGCAATTTTAAATCCCACCACTGAGCATTTATCTCACTGATATTTTTGCACAGGTGTAAAAAGACAGGTATGGGGCACCTGGGTAGCTCAATCGTTAAGCAGCTGCCTTCAGCTCCGGTCCTGAGATGGAGCCCCACAGGGCCCCCAATTCCCCGCTCAGCAGGGAGTCTGCTTCTCCCTGGTCCTCTGCCCCTGCCCCTGCTCACTCTCTCTCAAGTAAATAAAATCTTTAAAAAAAAAAGTGGGGGAGCGCCTGGGTGGCTCAGTTGTTAAGCCTCTGCCTTCTTCGGCTCAGATCATGATCTCAGGGTCCTGGAAAGGAGCCCGACTTCGGGCTCCCTGCTTGGCAGGAACCCTGCTTCTCCCTCTCCCACTCCCCCTGCTTATGTTCCCACTCTGTCTCTCTCTCTGTCATATAAATAAATAAAATCTTAAAAAAAAAAAAAAAAAAAGACAGGTATACCAGGTTTTTTATTTCATACTGGAAACCCAAATGTCAAATATCAAAAATGATGATAAACAGAGTGGCAGGACACCTGGGTGGCTCAACTGGTTAAACCTCTGACTCTTGATTTCAGCTTAGGTCATAATCTCAGGGTCATGAGATAGAGCCCCACAGTGGGCTCTGCGCTGGGTATGGAGACTGCTTAACATTCATTCTCTCTCTCTCTCTCTCTCTCTCTCTCTCTCTCTGCCCCTTCACTGGCTCATGAAAATGAACACTATACAGCAGATTTTTTTTTTTTTTTTTTTTAAGTAGAGTGAGTACACTGATTTATCGACATGGAAAAACCTCTTGGTAAGTGCTTGGTAAGTGAAAAATGCAAGATGTTACATTACCTTTTGTATAAAAAGAAACAATAATCAAAATACATATTCATCCTTGTTTGTTTTTACACTAAGAGAAAGTAGTAACAGTGAGAAGGAACTGGGCAGATGAAAGGCAGGATGGGAGGGAAACTTCGAACTGTGCATCTTTTTATTTTTTCTCTTTTGCTTTTTTGGCTACATGAATATTTTGCCTATTCAAATATTAATTTTTTAAGTATTTTTAAGTGTACGGAATACATTTTAGTTCTCAAATATTGGCTGCAATTACTACTACCACTGTTGTTGGTAGTAGTAGTAGTGGTACTAGTTACAAGCTCAAAATACCTCTTTTCTGAAGCCTTTTTCGTACTCACTCTGCAGAGAAGCCTCCTCTAACTCCCAGAGTATTTAAAGAATTTATCATTTTCTACTGTAGCCTAAGCCGCTTAGGAGGTAAGTCAATGTCTTGTTCATTTTTAATATCCCAGGAGCCTTGCCTGCACCTGGTAGATACAAACATTCCGTAGTAACAGTAACCTACAAGTACTCCAAAGAAGAAAATAGTGACCCTTTCTAAAAGGAGTATGCTCTATTATTAATTATAAGACCAGAAAATATTAAAATTTGAATAACTGGTTTTGCTAACATTCTTTCAACTATTGCCCAGCCAAAATGTCCTCTCTTTCAACAAGTTTTCTTTTCCCAGGACTTCCCCAGATATTGATAACATGATCCATGCCAAAACACTACATGCACCAACTCTTTAACTCACTGCAATCTCTGAAATGCCTTTTGTCCTAAGTCCCAACACCCTGGTACACTGATCCTATCAAAAAAGCATTTGTTGACTGTCTCCTTTTTAGATAGACGTTCACATAATAGTCAGTGAATAAAGTGCCCTTTTAGCTGGAGAAGACCTAATACTTGATTCCTAATTCGCTCAGTGTTTTGTTTGTTCTTCTGGTATGTAGTGTGTTCTATAACGACTGTTCAGTAGCCCAATTCTAGATGTCATTCCAGCACACCAAATACTCCGCTGACAGCTCAACAGTCACTTTTCACGCAGGCCCCTCCCCTTCCCTCCTCCCTCAACCCTCATAAGCTCTAGAGCTCCTTCGCCGATACTGACAGACAGACACACTGACAGTTCAGAAGTCCTTCCACCCAAGCTGTCTTCCCCTGCAGCTGCAAGACCACCTCCCCGACTCTTACGATCCTGCGACCTAATTCGGTCCCCAATACCATCCCCCTCCCAGTCAATCCAAATCACATCATTTTCTTCCCAAAGAACCTGGCAGCTTTAAAGCTTTTCCCAATAAGTGCACAACTGACAGCTCGACACCAGATTCCCCAAGAATCTTCTGCTCCTCCTTCCCCTCCTACCCCACGCACTGGTTCTTCTGTCGCTACCACTCACTCGCCCTGGCTTCCCCGAAAATTCACAGCCTCGCTCGGTAAACACGCTCTCCGCTCTCCCCTCTCCCCATTCCCTCTCCACCGCTGACAGCTCAGTCACCTCCATCCCCATGCGGCTGCACCCTCCCCCACTCCTTCCCCTGACAGCTCAGGGTCGGCTCCCAGCCTTCCCCCCTCTCCAGGCCTCCCCAGACCCGGCTGGAGCCGCCCGCGGTGCCCCCCGCCCCGGAGGAGGGCTCCACTCACCCACTCTCCCGCATCACGTTGCTGTCCCCGCAGTCACAGGCACCCCCAGCCTGGCTGCGGAACATATTGAAGTCGTGTCCGGTGTGGTCACCCTGGTGGAAGCACTCCGCGCACAGCGACATGCAGGGGGAGATGCCGCACGTCCGGCAGCGGTAGGCCACAAAGTTGGCTGTCCAGACCAGGCCGCAGAGCGCCGCGGGGTCGTAGGCCCGCACCGCCGCGCAGAACTCATCGTAGCCTCCGCCGCCCGCCAGAAGGCACTTACACCACTCCAGAGCCTCCTCCTCGGCCGCCCCCGGACCGCCCCCGCCGCCGGCTGCCGCCGCCTCCTCGCCGTCCGCAGCCGCGGTCAGCGGCCGCTCGGCGCTCAGCACCCGCTCCAGCAGCGCCTGTAGCTCCTCAGCACCTGCCCTGTTGTCCGGCCGGCTGAGGGCCGCCTTCAGGTGCGCCGCGGTGGCCGCCTTGTCCACGGCCAGCCCAGGCGCGGGCAGCTCGGGTTGGGGCGGCTGCGGCCCCCCGACGGCCGCCGCGGCCGCCGCCGCCGCCATGATGAGAGCTCAGAATTTGGAGAGCCCAGGGCCGGCGGCTCCTCCCGGGAGGGTGGGGGAATTGACTGCTGCGATTGCTCGGCCCGCCCAACTCTCGCGATACCGCGGAGTCGCCGCGCACCTCCGTCCGCGTCCCCGCCCCTGCACACGCCCCCTCGGGCTTTGGGGCCTGCTCCCCGCCCCTCTCTCGTGGGTGCTCTTTGGGTCCTTTACCCTCCTCTTGACTCCCAAAGTTGAGAGCTACTGAGATAAGGGACCCGCCTTTAAAAAAAATAAATAAATATGGACAACTTTAGTATGGACCATATGAAAAATCTTTAATATGGACATTTTTTTCTTTATTTACCTGGACTATAGGAATTAAACAGAGCATCTTTCAGATGTATTTTAAGCATTTGCATTTCGTTTTGAGATGTAGATTCCCATTGTCATTAACCCTTAATTACTACTGAATCACTATTACTGTTGAAGCAAACTCCTAATTTTCCCCCTATATCAATTCTTACCCTCACATTGTTATCAGGTTAATCTAAAGTACATTTTTTAGATGATTAAAGTACACTACATTCTTACTATCATTCTGTTCAAAGTCTTCAGCGGCGGTGGGGGGGGTAAGCTCCTTAAATCTTCTCTCAAACACCCACTTTTCTCTTTTTTTTTAATTTTTTAGATTCTATTTACTTATTTCAGAGAGAGATCGAACACACCCACGTATGCGTGGGGGGAGAGGGCAGAGGGCGAATCATGCTCACGCTGTGCAGGGATACCTGCTAGGACTCTGTCCCAAGACCCTGAGATCATGACCTGAGCAGAAGGCAGATGCTTACCCGACTGAGCCACTCAAGCGCCCCCCAAAACCCACATATCTTTCGGTCCTTATCTCCTGACACTACTCCAGGTTTGCCATATGAAAGAGACCAATGGGACTGTTCACTGTTTTATGAGGCTTTATCATTTCCTGCCTCTGGTCCTTTATTGTTCCTAGTTCCCACACCACTCCATTCCACTCGCTCACCCTGCAGTTTAATCTAGCCCAGTCTACTTATGTAATTTCTTTTCTTCAAAAGAATGGCTCTTAACTTACTTGATGATACAACTTTTTTTTTTAAACTCTACAGTGGAGGTGGGCTCAAACAGCACCCCAAGTTTAAGAATCACATGTTCTATCAACTGAATCAGCCAGGCACCACTTAATGATATAACTTACTGCCTTTACTGTAAAATCTCATCTTCACCTCACTACTAATTGGTAAATTTCCTAAGGGCAAGGAATGAGTCTTCTTCATTATGGGACATAAATGTTCAAGTATTTGTACGATTATTGTTAAATAGAACATACTTATAATAGATAATATTTGCTACATATTTTTATGGGCCCTGCTCTTTATATATGTTATTTCATTTAATCCTCTCAATAATTTGATGAGGTAAGTACTGTTAATAGAAAAAAACAAACTTCTGGGGTGCCTGGGTGGCTCAGTGGGTTGAGCCTCTGCCTTCGGCTCAGGTCATGATCCCAGGGTCCTGGGATGGAGCCCCGCATCAGGCTCTCTGCTCAGCGGGGAACCTGCTTCCTCCTCTCTCTGCCTGCCTCTCTGCCTACTTGTGATCTCTCTGTCCAATAAATAAATAAAATCTTTAAAAAAAAAAAAAGAAAGAAAGAAAAGAAAAAAACAAACTTCAGGAGATGATTTATGTGCCCCAAAACCCACAGCTGGCAATTAAATGAAATGTTGACTTATATCCAGATCCATCTGATTCCAAAAGCCCTGCTCTTAACGACCACACCAGTATTTTCCAAACCTGCCTGATCCCTAAGAATCACCAGAAGCTCTACGCACAAAAACAGATTCCCATGAACCATCTCAGACCTAAGTAATCAAAATGTCCAGAGGTTATACTTCCCTATCTAATGAAATCTGAACCTTGAGGGAGATTATTATTAATGATCCTTCCAGAACTAAAAATCTACAGCTTATTAAAGTTTCCACAGCTTACTTCCAGACAGCTGGCTGTGTTATACAAAGAACTTAGTAACATATTACAGAGGACAACCAAGAATGAAAAAAATAAAACTATAGGAGAAATAATCCAAGGAAGTAGAAAAGAGTATTTACAATCCATAACCCTGTATTTTAAATGAATTAAACACAAAACATACTATTTTACATATCCTGACCTTCTACATTAATAAAGCATGTCATAATAATCATTAAGCAGTGATAATTAATTCAAAATTGCTCAATAACTCTCTTTATGAGTCACCAAATTATAAACCAAGTAAATTCCAGGAACATTTCAAACTAAGGTAGAACTAGTGTGCGTTCACCAGTCAATGCTTATGGGTTAAGGCAGTCTGGGATTTCTGGAAACATCCACAAAATCCAACCAGTGCCTCTTTTTTGCTGTACAAAAATAACAAAACTTAAATACTAACCTGTATTTCAGTCACATAAACATTGCAGCACATGTACAGAAATCCAGACATTTGCCAAATTTCCCACTTATACTGGATATGATGATATCAGACCTGTTCAAAATCAAAGAACCATTAAAAAATAACTGATAATATTAAGAATATAAGTAAACCAATCAGAAAATGGGCCGAATATGTGAACAGACATTTAGAAGATATATAAATGGCTAATAGACTTAGAAAAGATACTCAGCATCATTAATCATTAAGGAAAATTACATCTATAAGATATCACTATACTATCCACTAGAATGGCAATAATCAAAAGATAATAACAAATGTTGTCAAGGATATGGAGAAAAAATAACATGGATAGACCAAGAAGTAATTATACTAACTGAAGTAAGTCAGACTGAGAAAGACAAAAACCATATGATTCCACTCATAAATGAAACTAAAAAATAAATAAATAAATAAATAAACAAGAATCAGACATATAAATACAGGGAATAAATTGATGGCTGCCAGAGGGAAGGGGGTTGAAGGGATGGGCAAAATGGGTGAGGGGGAGCGTTAGATGCAATCCTCCAGTTATGGAATGAGTAAGTCATGGAAAAAAAGCAAATCATAATGAATACAGTCAAGGATATTGTAATAGTAATGTCATGGGACAGATGATAGTTATACTTGTAGTGAACAAAGCATGATGTATAAACTTGAATCAAATCACTAAGTTGTACTCCTGAAACTAATGTAACATTGTGCATCAACTATACTCTTTAAAAAAAAAAAAAATGAGAGGTTCCTGGTTGTCTCAGTCCATAGATCATGCAACTCTTGATCTCAAGGCTTGATCTTGAGTTCAAGCCCTCACTGGGTGTGGAGCCTACTTCAAACAAAAATTAAATTAAATTAAGGGCGCCTGGGTGGCTCAGTAGGTTAAGCTGCTGCTTTCGGCTCAGGTCATGATCTCAGGGTCCTGGGATCAAGTCCCACATTGGGCTCTCTGCTCAGCAGGAAGCCTGCTTCCCTTCCTCTCTCTCTGCCTGCCTCTCTGCCTACTTGTGATCTCTCTCTGTCAAATAAATAAATAAAATCTTTAAAAAAATTAAATTAAATTAAATAGTAAAAAAATTTATCATTGACCCCTGCATTTCCACTCCTAGGAATCTACCCAAGAGAATCTACACTACATATCCACACAAAGACTTAGATGTAAGTATTCATACCAGTATCATTCATAATAGTCCCCTAAAATTGGAAATGATCCAAAGGTCTATGAATTTGTAAATGGATAAACAAAATGAATAAACTTCTAAAAATGTTTTGCCAAAGAAGGAAGTCAGACACAAAGGATGAATACTATATTACACATTTACATGAACTGTCCAGAAAAGACGAATGTATAGAGACAGAAAGTAGAGACAGAAAATGGTTGTCTGGAGCTGGTGGGTAAAAAACAGGGAGTGACTGCAAATGGATATAAGGTATCTTTTTGGGATGACGGAAACATTCTAAAGTTCGTTGGGGTGATGGTTGCACAACTATGTAATTTGCTAAAAATCACTGAATTTTACTCTAAAAACAGGTGGATTTTATGGTATGAAACTATACCTCAATAAAACAGTTTAAAATAATAATAGTAATCAGTAGTATTAGTTATTGTTTGAGATGAATGAAAAAAATCAAGTTTCTGTCCAGGTACAAACTATTTTACTGCTTTAGCTTTTAAAATGAGTATGATAAGCTCTCAAATCCTTGCATCTCCTAGAATGTTTGGGACTTCTATCATTTGGATTCAGAAAGTCTGACATTTTTCTCTCTCAGTGCATGAGTGTAATATAAAAACTCTTCTTCTAAATTACCTCTCAAATCACTGTGCTGTGTCATGGGGAATTCCTACAAGGATCATATTTCCATGAGGGAAAGCCAGATTGAAATGCAGCTGAAAACTCTGTACTACTTAAATGCTATACTTCATTAAATGCTACTGTTACTCTACTGAGGACGTTGAATGAATAAAGCAACATACTGCTGTTACAGAAAGCCACAAAATAGTACCTGAAGAACTGCATTTTTATGTATTCCATCTTAATTAATGTGAAGAAGAATCTTGTGATGCTTCTTAAATTGGCTTTTCAAATTAAAATAAACCACACAGATAAGGTTAAAAAGCTACAAATGATAGATGACCCAATTGCTTCCAAAACTGGAGACCCTTAACAGAGAAATAACAAAATAATAGAAACTCTCCAAAGTTGCTTTTGTATTTATCAAGACTTTCTGTTTGAAAGTCCTTGAATTACCTTAAGCCAAAAAGAGGATAATATTAGATGATATAAACAATGGAGGGAAGAGGGGAATGAACCTGATGCACCCTCAGCTCTTAGGATGGGCTCCACTGTCTCCAACAGCTTATGTGCATGAGCCTCCCCAGCCCCAGCTCTAGATCATATCTCCACAACTTCACAACAGAGAAAACGGATCTCTTCTCTGCCAGATCCACTTAAAACCCAGAGGAAGAACTCTGACTGACCCAGCTGATGGCCCATGCCACCTTTATGACCAGAAAGAAGAGGAAGAG